GGGGTTCGTCTGGTGTACATTTTCCGTTGTTAAGCGAGTAGCTTGCCGCCGTTTAGGGTGCAACGTATTTGAGGACAATCTAGCTATCTCCTCGTTTGGTTTTGGTAAGCCACTGTAGGTAAGAGGTGGGCGGAAGTTTGAATATGTTCGGGAAATGGCGGATTAGTTGCAGTCTCGTAAGTTCTCCTGAAGGAATTTTGGGCTTGGTGCCTACTAGTTAACCAAACTATAAGCCCTAAGTAGTGCCTTAGTTACTAACCATATGTTTGCCATCATATCGTCACGCTAGCGGCGCCGGTTTAACCAAACTGCCTGGTTCAACTCTTCTGTCACAGGCTAGTAACTGAATTACCACGCTTAAGTCAAAAAATCGATTCATCAGCACAAACCACACTCCAACCCCACCAACATAGCCACAAACCCCCCCCCCACCACAACCAACCCTCCCCCACCCAACACCCAACACATAACTCCCCCACTCCCACACCCACCACCATGCATCGTGGTCGGGTGAGACGTGTTGTGCCAGGACCTTTCTTTTTAAGGGGTAAAAAAGAACTTTGTAGAGTTCGTCGTGAGCTGGTTGCAGACCATTTTGTTTATTTTTTTATCACTAAATTCTTTTTTTAAGACGTTTAGTGCACACAGAATCGACTCGGCCTAGGATATCACCTGGCTGTTTAGGCGTGTTATCGCAATGTCCCTCGGTTTTTGAAGAATGGAAATACAAACATTAACGAGCGTAGGCCTTTTTATTTTTTAAGGGGAGAGAGGAGAAAGAGGGATGGGAGAGACACAGAAGGGCGGGGTGGGGGGGGGCCCCCAAATAAAGTGAATGGAGGAGGTACTAAGGTTGAGAGTGTGGAAGTGGGGTGATGGGAGTTATCCCGTGAGGTGCAGGGGATTATCTGACGTTCTGTCATTGGCGGGTAGGGGGGTTAATGCTACAGTGGACCGTCAACAGCTTGACTAGGCTGATGGTCTAAGCAGTTGAGGAGAGCGTAATTCATCTGAGTGTTTTTTTTTTTTGTTCGCCGAACTGTATGGCCGGCGCGTATCGCAACATAAACGTAATCCGGTATCCGAACCGCTCACGCTTCAGGAAGTGAGAAGTGGGCGAGAGGGGATCCGAGAGAGGAAGGATGAGAAGTCTGAAGGCGATGCATGTGGGGGGGAGGGGGAGGAGGAGAGATTGAAGGATGAAGGGCGAGAGAGAAGGGAAGAGGATCGAGCCGGGTACGAACGGGGCGGGGGGGCAGGATCTTATGGGGATTGGACCCAGAAAGGGATACAACATGAGTGTAGAGTTTTTTTGACGTCCACCTATCCTTCAGCTTAATAGTGGAAGGATCCCTACCGGTGTAGGGGGGTGGCTCTACACAACTACAATGATTAGCGTCGAACACCAACCGCCCCGCAAGAATCAAAAATAAAGACATTTTTGCTGAGCTTAGTGTGGACCCACAAAACGCAAGCGCTCCCAATTAAAAATGTCCATCCTTGAGGGGAAATGATGAGAGGTGATGCTCATAAGTGATAAGAATGGATAACTTTGTTAGATGGAAGAATGTGTGGTGTGAGAGATTGTGGTGTAATGGTAGTGCAGTTAATTGAATAGAAAGGGATGCGGACTCTTTCTCTCCTCTTTACATGAGCTTCAGGGGGAGTGGGGGGGTCAGGTGGGTTCTGGGGAGGGGAACCGTGCGAGGTAACCACGCAGAGGTTTTTCTTTTTTTTGGATGCGGGTTAAATTTTGGAAGCTCATCGGGCAGATCGGCTGAATACGCTAGCAGCTTGCTGTGTTGGCTGCTGCTGTGGTTGGGCTGATAAAGGGCAAGAGTACGACGTGTTTGAGTTACGTTTTTGTTTTGTAGTTTATGGTTGGGCTGTTAGAGAAAAAAAAAAATTGCGCGTGGCAAGGATGCCGCCACGAGAACAAAAAATAAAAAAAAAAAAAATAAAATAAGACTGATGATTTCAGATTTAGGGCAGTTGTACCCATCTTCAAAAACCCACAATTTTAAGACGTTTGGGTTTCCACTTATTAGGATACTTACAGTGTGCGATGGATTTGTGGAAGATATATGATAAGTCGAACATCTTATGACAGCTTCAAACAGACCACGCCGGAGCGCATCACAGCGTCGGTTTTTTTTTTCTTCTTTTCCAAGGAGGAGGCAACGTGAACCTCCCCTCACATACGGGGGCTGATGAAAAAATTTTGGTATGAAAAGGCTTGGTGGGACCGAAGAATTTGGAACAAAGGGCGGAAAAAACAGTGAGGGTGCGTTAAAAGATTGCAGAAGTTCAAGATGAAGCTTGGCTATCACTATTTCGCTGTAGGCTACATTCTTTTTGCTCGGCGACGCAGGGCTTAGTTGCCAACACTACGGTGGGGGTCTGAGCGCGTGGTAGGGGGAATGTCCACCTCCCACCACTGCCGAAGGAATGGTGTTTTCTTAACAGCGAGTGGAGGGGGGTGCGGGGGGGGTTAAGGGAAAGATGGATACGCATCGGATTATAAGTTTTTTGACGCGCCGTACGGGTCTCACGCTAGAGGAGACGGAGGATGGGGGGTAGCTCGAGGCAGGGGGAAGTGAGGCCGAGGGGTCGGGGGAGGAGGGAAGAGAGTGAGTCGTCCCAGACATTCGGGGTTGTCCGGGGGTGGGGTTGGTGTTCTCGTGGGTCACGGAGACTTTCTTCTGGTCGAGTTCGGTCGAGTCGAAATCCGTGGAGTGGAAGGGGAGGGAGTTCGAGGAGTGGTACGGAGATCTCGCCCGAAAGAGATGGGGTAGCGGAAGAAGAAGGAGTGGGGGAGGCGAGAGAGGGGACGGTTAACGAGGGGACCAGTTGCGGCGGGGTGATCGGGAGAGAGGAATGAGTAGATTTTGGGGGAGGGAGGAGTCGTGAGCGAGAGAGGATGAGAGACGAGAGAAGAGAGGGGGATGATAGGTCAGAGAGAGATAGGTTGAGTACGGTACTGATGGGAAGTGAGAGAGAAGGAGGAAGGGGAGAATGAACACGAGAGAGAGGCGACTGGGAGAAGAGGCAAGCTTCTCCCTACCCGAAGCTGGAATATGAAGCGGTAAACAGCACGTTAAATCGCCCTACGGCTTAAGGCCCAGGCATTGTATGCTTTTTTGCTGGTTTTTGGGGGCAGTTGGCATGTTTTGCTGGACGAAGTCTCGGAATTAAGCCCTTCAAAGTTAATAGTGGATCCGACGGGTGCGTAAATGTTGGTTCAACCTCAGACTGACTGTGTCCCAAACCATTGAGCTTTTTCTTATTGATTACGGCTGCACGTATCAAAAAATAATCCATAGTGGTGGTCGAAATTAATGGTTGAATCATTGGGTGTAAAGAAGAGAAGGAATTGCTGACAGAGCGGCGAGCTCTCCGCAAAGTGTAGGAGTTTTTTCGTTTTGTGATTACGGCCTTGTTTTTAAATGAGGGCAATGGGACGGGACTAGACCTGCCGTTTTTTTTACACACAGCAGAGATCCCTCGACAGGGAAGGTGGGATACTAGTTGTGCTATGTAGAATAATGGAGCGAATGTTGGAATCAGTTGTGTTGGCTGGTAGGAGGACACGAAGAGCTTGGCTTTGTTTTTGTTATGGTGGGTTATTTTTTGGGGGGTGGAGGTTAGTAGTTTTTTTAGTTGACGCTGAAAGATGTTTCATACTTACTGGGATAACTACTGTTTTCTTGTTTTACGATGCGAGCTATCGCAAAAACTTTGGCGGGAGGGCCTTTGGCGCCGAAACTTGTCGCCTGTAGAGGAGGAAGTAGGAAAAAGAGGATATGAGAGGTGAACAGATGGCAATACAGAGAGTAAGCCATCGGAGAAGATCGGTGTCCAGCAATAGAGTTTTGTATTAAGCCTTCTGTTACTCAAGTTGGGGTACGAGATCCTGTGTGTAATGGTCAGGCACAATAAAAAATTCAACAGTTTTACTCATAGGGGTTCAACCATTATATATTCTCATTCTGTACACGCCTAGCAATCCAAGAGAGTGGGAAAGAGGAGGTGGAAGGTGGGGGGGTAGTGGGGTGGGGGGGATGGGATGGGGGAAGTGGGGGGAAAGTCGGAATAGTTGTGT